GAGGTAATGAAACAACCTACTTTAACAATTTAACCAGCAGTTAAATTTTCACTGTTTCCATAGTAACTCTAATGCACAGTGAATTCTTACAGTATTTATCTGTTGTCTTTGCAGACTGTAACGATGGACAATGCAGAGGAGTATGTAGATCTTATGTTTGACTTCTGCATGCATACTGGTATACAGAAACAGATGGAGGCATTCAGAGGTAATTTAAATATACAGAGCATATATACAGTTAGGTGGACTAATTGGTGTTCAGGATGTGATGGTTTAAAGTGGGGGCATTGAATGGCTTTCAGAAATAAACTTCCTCAATTAAGAATGCCATAGGTAAGATATTCATTTCAGAATACCTTTTGCATTAGTTATGCCATTTTTAATCTTGAAGAGGTTCAATTTACCTTAATTAAGAAGCTGTTGATTGATTCTGGTTTGATTAAAATAGAATTGAAATGCTGACATTATTTTATAAGCATTATTTTGACTTGTGCTTATAACTGTATCTTGTGTAAATTAAAGATGGCTTCAATAGAGTCTTTCCAATGGAGAAGCTGAGTTCCTTCAGCCATGAAGAAGTTCAGATGATTCTCTGTGGAAATCAGTCACCTTCTTGGGCAGCTGAGGATATCATCAACTATACTGAGCCCAAACTGGGATATACAAGAGACAGGTACTTACATTCTGAGTGATTTTAAAATAGCAGCTAAAAGAGACGTTAAGTGACAAAATGTCCAGAATGTTCATTAGATGAGGATGCCAAATTGGGTGGGATTGGTGGTCACTGAAGGGTGATTGCCTGAAACTGCATGAAATAACCATGTATGTTACAACAGATATGTCAGAAGGTACTTGGTGGGTTTGTAATGCGAGAGGATAAAAAAACCTGACAATACTAAAATGTGAACAACTAGTGGAAATGTAATGGCTGCTAATACAGATGATTAGAAATAGCATTTTGAGGTTATATTTTTTTTCAGTTGGGTACAGTTGTTACTTGGCCCTTATTTCTTATTTCTTTCTCTTGAAGTGATGGTTAAAAAATGCAGGGGACAAATATACTGGTGGTTGGTTATCAGGAGGTGGTCCCAATGTTTTGGGCTTTGTTGGGTTTGGGTTTTTTTTTCTTCTTGTCATGTGTGGTAACAGCCTAGAGTCTTAAAATGACTGCTTAGATCTGACTAAGAGAAATTAAAAAAAAATCACCAACAGTCTCTTGTTGTAGTGTTATCAGAACTAATTATTTTAATTTATTTTCAGCCCTGGATTCCTTCGATTTGTGAGAGTCTTGTGTGGTATGTCTTCAGATGAAAGGAAGGCTTTTCTGCAGTTCACCACTGGTTGTTCAACACTCCCACCAGGAGGACTGGCAAACCTACATCCACGGCTCACTGTTGTACGCAAGGTACAGCTTCTCCAGGTCACCCTTCAGACCTGCTGCTTTGGCTTGGGAATGCAACAGTTCCTGCCTTAACAACACTGGGGTTTGTTGTTTTTGGTGTTTAATTTATGGCACTATGCTAAGCCTTCAGTACTAACCTCTGTTTCAGGTCTGTTCTCTGACTACATATTTAAATATAAAAGTATTAATGATTGTATAAACCAGATACATTTATCAGTTGGTCTGTAGCGTCCTAATGTTTCTTGACACCTGGTGTTATGTATGCAGTAAGTGCCATGAATTAGGGGACTTGACAAGTTTTAACTTCCATGTTGAGTGCTGTGAAGAACAATAGTAAATGTTATTTTTTCCTCAGGTTGATGCTACAGATGCAAGTTATCCATCTGTGAATACTTGTGTGCATTACCTGAAGTTGCCTGAGTATTCTTCTGAGGAGATTATGAGGGAGCGTCTGCTAGCTGCTACCATGGAGAAAGGCTTCCACCTCAACTGAGCCGCTGGCCGCAGTACGGGACATAAAGTGTTTTTTGATACTAGCGAAGCCTCTTGTGTTTGTGTGCAAAAACTATGATCTCCACGCTGTGCTCTGACGAGACTTGCCTTTTTTCACCTGTGAGGCTTTAGGAACATGTGGAATGTTTGTTAGCTGCTAATGACAAAATAAATCCTTGTAACTACACAGCCAGCAAGAAATTGGCACAGAACACTGTGTGATGCTTCAAGGGCTTGCACAACTGGAAATTAAGGTGGTTCTGTTTGACTGTTCCAAAGAACAGATCATCAGATTTTCAGTGTTCACTGATACAAATTTCTAACAGTGTATTGTGTAAAGTTTGTCATTTAATACCTTGTACACTACAGTTGCCATCACTGATCCCTGTTTTGCTGGCTTTAAGCTAACTGGTCAGAAACTTGCTTCCTTTAAAATTTAGAGTTATGGGCATCTCCAGCCTTTTCTTTTTTAATGGTGCCTGCACTATTGGAGTATTTTAGTGGGTTTTTGCATATAATCATGCACAACCTTTTTTTCTCTTCTTTTTCTTTCAAGTGGGAATATATTTTGATTTCTCAAATGCCCTGCTATAAAGATCAAATCCTTAAGTGTGTTTGTGCAGCTCAACAATAAAGCTATTAAAAAACACTGGTTCCTAGTGCAAGGCACACTTAAAGCAAGTTTTACTTTTGGTTGTATTTTCTTTGTATATTATAAACATTTATTTAACTTGTTGCAGTTTGAAGTTTAAAAAAAAAACAAAACACCCAATGTGTAAGCTCAAAAGTAATCATTAAAATGTTTGCAACATATAAAACTGTCTCCTCTGAATACTTCTTTAGTACTTAAGATCTTAAATCTCTGTACATGTTCTGAACAATGTGCCATACTTTTTCAAAGGTTTAAAGGACCACACAGCAATAACTGATCTCACAAATTCATTTGTGTTCAAATCTTTTCAGGATTACAGTGCCACTTTTTAAGAACTAGTCTGGCTATGATAACCTGCATGTGGCAGGTTTTGGTGCTCTTCAGTGAGCCCGTGGGACCTGAGGTTATACTTCTTCATTACACTGGAATAAAAACTGGGTCAGATGATGTGGCTGAGTCAGCTTTACTTGAAATGGAGTGCCTGTCTTGCTTGTGGTGAGGTAATTATTGGTAAAAAGTGGCTTAAGATAAAGCGAGATAACAATATGTCTTTAAATATATTTAAATACTTGATACCAGAAAAGAAATTACTATGGCAGTTGAATCTGTGTGCCAAGTTTTGTTCTGTGCCAGCTCTCTTTGGTAACAATTATTTCTTGGGCCACTGTCAAGGGAGGGCTTGCCTAAAGGTTGCCTTGCATGTATAGATGAGGTTGATGCCAGATTTCTTTTCATAGCTTTATTTGTAGGACCTTACAGGCACTGTTTTTCAGATTTTCCCCAATGCCAAATTGGAGGGTAATCTCCACCATCCTCCCCACTCCTGTGCCTCTTGTGCTTCAATAAAACACTTGTACACAGGCTTGTGCAACTATCTGCTCCAGAGCCAACGTCATCTTGTTTTGCTGAATGTGTTACTGTTTATGGAACCCACACGTGTGTCCCTTTTCTGGGTGAAGTGGAGGTGGCTCATTCACCTTTGTCACGATCGGTGGGTGGACACGCGCCGTGAGAACTCCAACGCTTCCCACTGGTTGTTATCATCAGTTCCTGTGGCTTCACTGTCTGGATCCGTAGGGAAACGACAAGGAACAATCACCACTCTGATCAGTGTCGGGATGGACCATGGTGCCCTCCCCTCCTACGAGGTGAGGACAGATGACCAACCACTACTGACCCTGACCGGCCTTGATTGTCGAGTCCGATCCCGTGAGGGTCCCATCAGTCATGACAGTACTACCCTCAGAGCAGCTGTCAGACTCTACCCAGCTTTTCCAGCCCATGGGTGAGGGCTCGGTGTTTCGTGCGCATGATGCGCCCGAGTTTGTTTCAGCCAGACACTATGGATGGGTGGTGAATTCATGGATAGGGAGTCATTTGGGCTACTCACACACACAGTGCTCTGCTCCTTTGACTGCAGTTTCTAGGTGTGGTTTACATGTGAGCAGTACACATAGAGCCCACACAGAATATGCTCTTTCAGTATCAAGTTATGTTGGGGCTTGGGGTGGAGGTCACGAAGAAGGAGCCAGATAACCTTTCTCAAATTAAGTGGAAGTAAGCTCAGATTGCTAACTCTCACGTGGCTTAATGTCGTATGCAGGTATCAAAGTGCTGATGCCTGTGAATACAAGTTAGTGTAGCTACGTCCTGCTCAGGAAGGGAGACTTGATTTGGTACCTAGCTGGTACTGACAACCTTGCTTTTCTTTTGTTACTCATCTTTTGCACAAGTTTTAAGCTTGATGTATGGACAGCTCGTACAAGAAGAAAAAAAAACCACTGATATGCTAAAATAGAAAAGATTTTGTGTAATTTATGAAGCCAACGTGATAAAAGACCGTTAAACTCCTGATTTTAATTACCCTTTATTGATGTTATAATAAGTAAGAGCTAAATACTTCTAGTTACAACTTGGGCAGTACCAAGAATATTAAACACATCTGTACTTTTCTTTTGTATGCATGACATGCATGGCAAAGGGAGGGAAACCAGTTTTTGAATGAAAATTAGTTTAAAAGTGGTCATAAAAGTTACAGAACTATCATTTATGGTACATTTGTGTGAAAATAAATCAAGTTGGTGCTTCAGGGAAGGGCTGAAATTCAGTCTGAATTTATATTTCCGTATTTTCTGTCTTCTAGGTCTGGTATGATGCTACATTATTCAAAGTGATACATGGTCATGGTAAGGTTTCATTTCTTCATCTTCAGTCTGTTTTAAAAATGTTGACTGTTCTAGAAAGATTTCTGCTGGGTCAGTAAAGCTGCATCTGAATGCCTCAACATGTTTAGCTGGACCTTTCCCATAAGGTATGAAGGATATAGGAGAAAGAAGATATTTTCCAGCTAATTTGAATATTGCATGAGTCAGTCTTGTGACATCAGAAAACTGCTGTCAGTACATTCTTGATGTTTTCACCATCTTTTGTAAAATGCTTTAGTCTTGTATGTTCCTAGTTTTCTGCTACTTTGTCAAGCACAAACAGGGGGGCGAGAATTCTGTTCCGGTTAGTTTCCACAATGCAGCCATTCAGCACCATTTCATCCAAAATGATGTGCACTCTGTCCAAATTGAACATGATCTAGAAACATTTTAAGTTAAGTGTATTTTGAACAACGTGAAGATAATTCAGAACAAGTCTCAGGCACCTAAGTCTTTGATCAAAATTTACAAGAATAGGTATTTTTACTTGTCTGTTTATTTTCATAGAGCTATGGACCACAAAATGGTCAAAAGTTTATAGTAGACAAGTTGAAGCCCCAGCAGTATCCCATCCTTGAAGATAGCACTAGTACATGGTATTAAAAGCAAGGTAAGCTTTCAGCTCACTTAAAAGCATCGTGCTACTAGTTCATAGTAGTAAAAGCAAGATAAACTGAAGCTCAGAGGTAGGTGCTTAATTTTACTGATTGCCTGAGTACTCACGTATCATTTGGATGTAAAAACGTTATCGAGGGATAACAACCTTGAATGTGAAGATGTGAATATTCTGCATTTTTCCTAGAAAAGTAATAGTCGAATTCTTAAAAATTAGATTCTTAAATTTTCCTTATACTAAGTTACTAAGACTACTTGATCTGTTTGGAAATAGTTTAAGAGGAATATGCTGATATGTAAAGTTGAATCATTGATCAAGTAGTAAGTCTCATAAAGAAGAGCCAAAGTAAATAAATGGTTCATATTTTACATGCTCTCTAACATGTATCTATAATATTCACCTAAAGTAAAATAATCTAAGGCAATACGAATTTGTACAGTTGTGATACATGAAATGTGTCCATAGCTATGTCTGTCTTAACATTATCTAACAGCATCTGTCTCAAAACCCCTGATGACAGGCCTTACTGGGGTATTAAGTGGCATTCATGACACATGAGTGCATTCATGTATACATGAGTGTTTTGTGCATCCACTGAACAACTGCAGAGGGCTGTGTAGTGAGGAGATTCGCATGTTGCCATTCATCACCAGAAGCTGAAATGGAATCAGGCATAGCAGAACAGCCTGCTGGGTGCATCTGTTATGCCTCACTGACATGCACATACATATCCAGAGGCATGAATAACCCTTCATCTGCCTTACTCTCCACCTGTTGCTGCTCTTTAAATGTGTTCTTTGCTGTGCTCAACAGATCTGCTTTGCCTTCATTTTGTGCATTCTAATTCTTGCCTGTGTTTCGAGGATCAGTGCAGTGGAGCTAGCAAGATACTTCACAGTAGTTAAATACATCTCTTAGTACTTTTCTCCAGCTTTGATAGGAGTCTCTCAAGTGCCATCTCTGCCCATTATGCTGGTTTTGATGTTATGGATTGAACTCAGGAAGACAGCCTGGTCTTGCTCTAGTCCTTGTATTTATGTTAGTGGACTTCCCTGCTAAGCAGTGGAGGTGAAAGAGCCAGGTTTTTAAGGCATCAACATTTTCCCCTGCTCAGTGTGATAGTCTCATTTTTTGAACATGACACAGGCATTGAAGAGGACTGCTCTGTCCCATGAGTTCCACTGGATCTGTCTTCAGCAGTCAGACATGCTGCTCTGCCAAAGGGCAGGAACAGCGGGAGTACTGAACTGTGTACGACAACAGCTGAGAAGCCACATACTTGTATATCCTTGTTCCTCGTAGGTGGTAAGTGGTGAGGAGACAATATCTTAGACCACCAGAGCTGCAATGGCACAAGCTCATGAAAGGGAACAGTCCGAGGCTGAATCCAAGAAATGGATTAAGTAACATTGAACATCTCCATGCCTAGTTTTTTTAGCACCTGGCTTTGAGGAGAGAATTGCTTAATCTCAGTTAGGTGCCTTGTTTTTCCTGCAATGAGTGGCAAAAGCCAGACCCATCAAAAAATCACAGGTTCTAGAGAACCAGAGCTGAAGCCAGTACTTGGGAATGCAGAGAGGGAGATTTCTGTGATCTTTTCTCTTGGATTCAGAAGCCCAAGTCATTACTTCAGGTAATAATAACTGGCTTGATCTCTTTTTAAATGTCACAGTAGAGATGCTGCCTGCCTGAAACCTGTAGAAGACAGAGGCTGAGTCTGTCCCCAGCCTGGGGAACTCCAAACCCACATTTCTCTGTGTGCAAGCTTAGCTAGGTTGGTAGCAGCTGCACCTGCTGCCTTGTACTTAACCTTCTCCTGCTGTCTGTGAAAGTTCTTAAGTACAACTGTCTCACCTGGCAATGAGAGAAGCTTAAGACTTTGTCCTTATCTTGATGATTGCTTCTGTTGCATGCACTAAAGCAAGAAGAGGAGCATAGAGTATATCTCATGTTAGCCTCGTGTGTGACCACCCTACTAAGAGATGAAAAGCAGAAGCTTGAACCTGTTCTGTGTTTTGAGAACAACTGATACCATGTCAAAGGAAAACTGCACCTAGACCAGTAAGAATCTTGCAGCTGTTCTGCTCAAACCCACTGTGGTTCAAGGAGATGTGAATTCCCTTGCAGGGGCATTCCAGGTTATTTCCAAACAGGCCTACACCATTGCAGAAAAGTGGTATGATTTCTGTCCATCTGTAGCCTGGTTAATCTCAGTCATCATTCCAGAACCAGTGATTTCATCTGCAGTTTGAATGGGGATACTAATGCCATTCTGGAAAGATTTGTCAAATTGATTTGGAAGGCCCCAAAGCATTCTTTACCCTCAACCTAACATCCCACCTCCCTTCACCATGCTGTTCTTGGCAGACAGTTGGACTGTACAGGGAGCAACCTTGGCTTTTTTCCCCGCGAAGCTCTATGGTTACATCTCACCCTACACACACTGCTCAGCCATTCACATCTGAATGCCTTGCCCAGGGAGGGATATGTATCTCTGATCCTCAGCAAGGCTCATCCTCCCACCTGTCGCTTGTTTGGCAAGTGACCCCAAGTTTCGGGGTTTAAAGCCCTGAGGTCACAGATCCACACCCAGCTGAAAAGCAGCAAAGCAAACCAGTCTGAGCAACTGGCAACAGGAAACAAATGTATTAGGTATGTGCACTGCCACGTGCTCCATCCAGAGTTGTGATTTAAGGTCCTGCTTCCAGTAAGAATTCTGACTGCCCACAAAGGAGGATTAAGGGACTTTCACTAGATCCACGTAGAGGCTAACAGGATTTTTTTAAACAAGTATGCAGAAGAAAACACATGTTAATCTCTGCACTTTAGATAACAGTTTCAGAGCATTCAGCTAGGAAATGCTCTTTACAAGCTCTCAGCCCAGGCAAAGGTGAGCCCTCCCTGTCTCTGGTTTACAGGTGGCAGGCACAGCTATGCCAGGCAGCAGAAGGAATTGGTACCTACTACAAGTGGCATTTATGCTGGCTTTGGGGAACTTTAAGAGCTGCCCTTCTTAAGGACATGAATGGTACTTTCTACTATCACAAAGAGTTTTTATGGCACATACATACTAAGAGGCAGTAAATGTGGCACAAGTATTTGTCTCCTTCCCCAAGACATTATATGGACAGAGAGTTGAGCAGGGGAGAGAGGAAAGAAAGAGAAGGCACATTTAGGATTTGCATGTGATAAATAACTTCTTCATACAGAGGCATTGTAAGAGATCTCAGGGTTTTCCTGGCAAGCAATTAAGGGTGTATCCAGGCTTAAGAGCTGATGAAGTGCAGCCAACACCTTGTGATCACGGAACACACCCAGGAGCACAAACAAAGCCTTTGTACATTACAGCACAGGTAGTATGTGGCAGATGGGTTCCTACTGAATATGTAGCATTACAGAACCTTGATTTCCATCCTGGACATTGATCTTCAACTAGAGATCAGTTGGAGTTGCTTTTCTATTTAAGCTAGAGTCACACATTCTGACTCCATTTTTGCTAGCATTCACTTTCAGTAACTTGTAGCCCATCTCATGGGCAGGCATGCTTAAGGCACTGAAACCCCTTTAAGGCTTTCTGACCATTTCTTCCTCAAATGACTATGCTCACATTAAACAGAAAACAAAGGTGTTTTCAAGTTCTGTGAAATTCTAGAACTAAGCTAATTTTAAGCTGATCTTTAAGCTGATAGGTGTCCATTTCATCCACTTGTTAGAGTACAAACTGAAGCTTATCCTTACAAATTCTCAGAACAAATTAATCATTCAATTTTCTCATTCCCTAAATGTGCTGTATTCTCAAAGTGTTATTCCACGGAGGACTGAAGAATACAGCTGATTCACATACCGTATTAGCTTATCAAAACTTATCTATCCTAGGAGGAGGAGCAGCAGCAGCTAGTTGCAATGGTATGTAATGTTTTTTTTGGATCAAGACAACATTCTTCACAGGCTTGGTCCTAGAGCACCCTGTCTTCCCCTTCCCTTCCCACAAGAGGAACATTACTATGTGTTTCTTCTGTAAGTTAATAATGTGTCTTTACATAAGTTTGTTTCACCAGTTCAAGCAACAGCAAAGTCACGTTTTGTAATTTTTAACATTATTTTGTTCCTTGTAAAGCTGCTGTGGTAACACTTGTTTTTATAGTCTATTTTGCCATCATCACAGCGAGAAAAATAGTTCCTACACCATCCAAGCTGGAGTTTTAGAGGTACAGAAAAAAACCCCACTCACTTACTTTATAAATTGAGGCTTATCCAGTGCTATTAACACATTAGGCCACAACACTCCTAGAACAACTTCAGTACTTGTTCATTCCTCTGGCCCAACAACATTACTTACAGGTATTTTAAAGACAATCCAAACAACTTTGGAAATATTATGGCATTCCATCACAGGTACTCTTTAGTGTGCAGCCGACTCACAGAATGAAAGCAGACATCATATAATAGCTAAATGATTTGAAATTTATACATGAAAGCTGCTGGAAAAAGCTGGCTAGTCTAAAGTAGTCAGTTGGTTGGTAGCTAATCAGCATTCATTTCTTAAGTATACATCAGGTAATTTCACAACTGCTCATGCACTGTTTAGCATCACACCCCTATGTCCCATACGCAGATCGGACCCAGTCCCTGCCTCGTGCCCAACGTGTGTTTCCTGGCAGCTGAGTCCAGACTCAGGCCAGGATACAAGCTGGGTGTCCTGGGTGAATTCAGGTGTTTGGACCTACATGAAACCTGCACTCCCACCTCAGCTGGAGCTGAGTTACAAGGACTCCTGGGGTAAGTCACAATGCCTAGGAAGCTGAAAGAATCACTGCACGTGCTACAAACTTGGTGCAAGCCCCAGAGGGACATCTCACTTGCATGATGGTCTCAGCCTTTAGATTTAACTGGGCTTTGCTCTGTGCATGGATGAATGGCCTACAGTAATTATGGTCTATTTTGCACGGGGTTTGATTTCATGTAATTTCCTCCTATTTTTTTATGTTAGTAAATACTCCTGCCTACATAGAATAGCCACTATCACGTTTAAAATAAACTTCCTATGGATCTGTGGACAAAAATAATAGTGCAGAGTCAGGAAATCATGACAGTCTCCAGACAGATACTCCGTATAACAAAAGATTCTGTAAATACTACTTGGTGTCTGCAGCTGCAGACCTTCAGATAGTACGTTCTCCATCAGATAATCTGCATCTAAGCTAACTGTACTGAGTGTAAGAGTTAGTGTGTACAACCATTTGGCAAAGGAAATGGTGTAATCCCAGGTGGGGATATTATTTTACACGTTATGAAAGGCAGATTGATGGATTATTGCTTGCACTGCAATAACAGCTAAGGCACTTGTCCAGATCTTGTATTGTTCTTCTGGGTCAGCTATTCAAGCTGTTGCCAAAAATAAATACAGTCCTGAACAACCTACTTCATAGTTACACCTCTGCTTTACATTTAATGCTGAAGGGTATCTTACTCTATTTTTAGTATTTTACTAACCTCTCAACTTAAGAAAAGCTCTTCTTCCTAAACGGGAGAATTATTTTGTATGTATGTATATGTGTGTGTGTGTGTGTGTGTGTATATATATATATATATATATATACATATGTAAAATGTTGCATTTAAAAACTGTTCCTGAAATGTATATCACACAAGTGCATTTCTGAATGGCAAAATTACATACATCATTTATGTCATAAATGTTAAGGAACGGTATGTCAGACATGAGATTTTCCAGTATTTTTTCAGTATGATCCTGTTGTTCAAATATTTATATTCACACCATCATGCAGATGAGACCCATGTAGAAGATGAATTTCTACAGGAATCATTCAGACACTGTATTGCACCTGTTGCAAACATTAGTGTTGGCATATAACGCAACAACTTCTCTGAACAGTGCAGACTAAGGACGGGATGCCATCCAGGGGACCTGGAGGAGTGACCCCATGGGAATCTCAAGAGGGTTTAACAAGACCAAGTACAAGGTGCTGCACCTGGGTCAGGGCAACCCCCAGTATCAATACAGGCTGGGGATGGACAGATTTAGAGCAGCACTTGCCGAGGAGGATTTGGGAATGCTGGTGCATGAGAAGCTGGACATGACCCAGCAATGTGCACTTGCTGCCCAGAAAACCAATGGTATTCTGGGCTGCATCCAAAGCAGTGTGGCCAGTAGGTTGAGGGAGGGGATTGTGCCCCTTTATTCTGTTCTCATGAGACCCCACCTGGAGTACTGCCTCCAGCTCTGGGGTCCCCAGCACAGGAAGGACATTGATCTGCTGGAGAAGGTCCAGAGGAGGACCATGAAGAAAATCAGAAGGCTGGAGCACTTCTGTGAGGAAAGGCTAAGATAATTAGGATTGTTCTGCCTGGAAAGAGAAGACTTCAGGGTGACCTACTTGGGGCTTTCTAGTACCTGAAGGGAACCTACAATGAAGATGTAGAGTGACTTTTTACAAGAGCATGTTATCACAGAATCACAGAATATTCTGAGTTGGAAGGGACCCACAAGGATCATCAAAGTCCAACTCCTGACTCTGCACAGGCCATTCCCAAGAATCACACCATGTACCTGAGAGCATTGTCCAAACGCTTCTTGAGCTCTGTCAGGCTTGGTGCTGTGACCACTTTCCCAGGGAGCCTGTTCCAGTGCCCAACCACCCTCTGCATGAAGAATGTGTTTCTAATATCTAATCTAAACCTCCCCTGACACAACTTCAGGCCATTCCCTCTGGGCCTGTCACCAATCAACAGAGTTTCTTCTTTCTGTAAAGATCTAAGATCAATTACAAGTAAAATTACAGCATTTTTCTATGTTCTTCATAAGTGGTAATTCTTAAATCAAGTAAATAAACTAAATTACAGAATTTGATTCCAAGGTGACAACTGTGTTTCAGGTGTATAACTGAAACTCTTCGTACCAGCAGATCTGCATTTAACCAACAACAAACATGGGTATAAGAACTGCTTCAGTAGAATGAGCAGCCACCAGGATTGGAAGAACTGAGGACAACTGACTGAAATTTTCTCCTGGTTTAATTTTCTTTCAATCCCATATTGTATTTTATTTACTTCCCATTTGTGTTTAATTGTTCAGGACTGTATTTTACTATTTGTTTGTATTTGGGTTTAGTTTTAAATATTTTTTTTTAATTAATACCCCACAAATCACACACATGAAAATGTGGGTGGTGGGGAGGGGAGGGGTGGAAAAAGAAAAAGGTAACTGTGGCACTGCCTGGTTTCCTAAATTTCCTCCCAGGTCTGTCTCTGTTTCCATTGATACAGAAAGTAAAACTCACCTCTTGCTTTCATGAAGCAAGACCAAAGTGCAAACCTAATCTTACAATGATGCTACTGCTATTTGGCTCAAGACACAACTTGAGTTCAGTTACTCTTGCAGACATTGCAGTATCTTCTTTATTGCAAACTAAAGAAAAAAGGTGAAACCTTGAAGTAATAATTAGTAAAACCTGGAAGTTCCCCCCTGAATATAACTTTTCATGTATTTAGTTCTCCTGAAGCAAGTTCTCCCTGTCCTACTTTAAATGGAACCAGGCTTATCTTAATGATGGGGGATTTAAATAGGTGACCCTTGTGAACATCAGCAATGCTTTCAGAAAGGTGCTGGATTGGTGCTTCTTACTCTAAGTGCAGAGTTTAAACCTCTGCATTGTCTTCACTGTTTGAGAGTCAGTGCTCTAAAGACAGTATGAACTTGAACATACACCAAAAGAGATAGACCAATGGATTTCTGATATTGAAAAGGATACATCTAATTCACTCTGCAAAGGAAAGAGATAGACAGCCATTAGTTACAGTTTGATCTCTCATCTCATAAGTGTTAAGCATTACACATCCCTTTAAAGGACAAAGAAAGTCTTCAAAATAGCAATAGAAAATTTTAGGGCAATCCAGATTTCTATTCTGGACTGGACAATTACATGATCTTTCCTGCAACACTGCTTTGCATGTGCTTCCTGCCTGTGTAACCAAAGCTAGTTTTCTGAAATTTCTACTCATCAAAACCCAGTGAGGTCACTCACAGGTAACAATGTGGATACACACAGCACCATCTGAGTGAGTGGGTGGAAAGCCAGCAGCTCTAATCATGGCAAGGTCCGCCCTATATTCTCTCTTCTTCCTTCTGCAAAAATGAGATGTTAATGCTAATTTTACACAGTTGAAAATGTTGCTACAGATCATTTCAAAGGCAAAATGTAGACATTACATATACCCCTGGCTGTGGTAGTGGTGGCTGTGTATATTAGGAAAGGGAAGGCAACTCCTGCTTTGGAGGCCTAGCACTTTTAAGTATTCTCCAGCCCCAGCAACACAATTCTTCATATAGTCGATATTTCCCTTCTATTTTTGACCTGGATTTACCCCAAATAGTTTATTCATTTAACCAAAATGTCTGAGTTGGAAGCCCTTGTGGTCTCTCTACACTTGGGGATCTTCAACAGTTGACTCTGCACACTTGAGGCATGACTCACTTTCTCGAGATACTCATCAGTCTCCACTGCCAGTAATGGGAGCTTACCATGACCAAACTTCTAACTTAGGTGCCACAGTTAAATGTCTAAATTTAGAAACAACTAATCACAGCCTTAGCAGTTAAGATCTTGCACAGTGGGGTGGAGGTTCTCCAGCCTCAGCTAAAAGAGGGAATCTTTATCTGCTACCAAGGGAATTTAGTTTGCTAATATGGTTTTCATTCATGGTTTAACCCTGGGTTTAGAGCAAAATTGGTAAAGTTTACTGGTAAAATTTCTCCTATTTTCATGGTCTAAAGATGCTCTAAACTGGACTAGTTCTAGTCTGCAGGCCTCTGCTGAGTGATTCTGCCATTCTTCAATTAGAGGCATTTAATGCATCACAAAAATTTTATTTTAAGAGCCAGAATCAGTTAGGTTGGAAGGGACAACAGTGAGTCATGTGATCCAAGCTCCCTACTCGAGCAGGGCCATCCTAGAGCACATGGCTCAGGATTGTGTCCAGATGGTTCTTGAATACCTTCAGTGAGGTGAGGGACAATCTACAACATCTCTGGGCAACCTGTTGCAGTGCTCAGTGACTTGCACAGTAAAGAAGTTGTCCTCATATTCAGGTAGAACTTCCCGTGCATTAGTTTTTGCCCATTACCTCTTCATTTTTATGGTTTCCATCACTGAGAAGAGACTGGCTCCATCATCTTGGCACGCCCTGTTCATGTACCTGTGTACATTAATGAGGTCCCCTCTCTCTCATCTCTTCTCGAGACTGAACAGTCCCAACTTCCTCAGCCTTCCCTCATCACTGAGGTGCTCTAGTCCCTTAATCATCTTTGCTGCTCTCCGCTGGACCCACTCCAGGATCTCCAGCTGGTGAGGAGCCCAGAACTGGACACAATAGTCCAGATGCAACCTCATGAGGGCTGAGCAGAGAGAGACAGGATCACCTCCCTTGACCTGCTGGCAATACTGTTCTTAATGCAACCCAGGATTCCATTGGCTGCCTTAGCCAATCAGTTTAAGTTTCCTCAGCATTAAAATGTAGTTGAAGACATTGGAATTCTGAACAGTATGCAGAGTTTTCCATGGGTAGCCACATAAAAGTTAAAGGGACTCAGAATTACATCCACAAGCAACTTTGAAAGTTTTCCCCCTAATTCCATTAATGTTTGTTCTGATATCTGAATTCAACCTCTGTAAACTCCACTAGATAAAAATAGAATATGTGAGAATGTTTAAAGCTCACATGCCTAAAAATAATAGATGACAAAACGTCCTTCTAGAGCAGGACAGATGTTCTTTCCTTTCCCAGAGTTCTGTGTCCGTTGTCATAATCATAGTTTGCAGTTCTGCTAAAATTTTGCAAATCCTACACATTAATCCATAATAGTACATACAGATTTGTATTTTCTTGCCCTGTTGTTTCTGCCAAAAAAAACCCCAGCCAGAATTATAGCCCTGGTCTTCAGTGCTCTGCCATTTATCCTGTTATATGCTATTAAAAATTAGACCACCAAATGGCAAGAGATTTCTTTAACCACCTCCCTTTTAGGTTGCTCTAGTCTCAAAACCTGAAATGCTATGGAAAATACAAAAAACCCCACTGGTATTATGAACTCAGCAAATTTCTAACAACTATCAGTGGTTGGGTTTTATGTGTGGCCTAGGAATTATATATACTACATTTATAAGAACTACATCTATTTTTGCTCTGCCTCAACTGAAGAAAATAAAACTTGAGAAGTGGTTGACAACTCTTAGCTCAATTACATAAATAAGATGTGACTAAATTTTATTGTGCATTCCTGTGCTGCTGGAATCAAATTCCATTCCTGGTTATCACTGCTTAAGTTGGGACTGCAATCAACAATTTTAAGAGACAAATCCTGAACTCAGTGCAGTCAGAAAGTGATACACTTAGTACCAGCAGCTTCAGCAGGCTGGTGGATGTTAGTTGAGATAACAGGCCTAAAACATTTGTCAGACATCCAAACAGTGAAGTGTGCAGATGACTCTTTCAAGCATGTTCTTGTATTCACAGAGGGAACTCTGCCATGCCTGCTGTGGTACTAGGACTGGGAAACCAGTTACAGACTCTGCATACTGATCTCCTGTATGTGTAATTACCAATGTAATACCCTCAAGCACATGGACTACGGAGGAAACTATCCAGTCCTCTTTTCTGAGAGGGATTTCCAAAAACATTACAACATAGGTTAACTGAAATTGTGCCAAAGCATGATTTCAGTCAAATTTGTTTGTAACAAAGTTATTACAAACCCTATATTAAATAGCACATGTTCTAACCAGGATTATAATGCTGCATTTTCAAACTTATAAAACCGAGCAAACAAAAAAAAATCTCCCACCAAAAGGAATACTTTAACTGGAGCCATGTCTGAAGTTGAATCCTTAACAACATGACTATCTCTATAATAGCTGTTTTATCAGATATCCATGCATGACAACAATATGGGGAGTACAAGTACAGACAGGTTTGTGAGGTTTCTTTTGCTCCATCCCTCCCACCTTGTTCAGTGAGAATGATGTCAGCTCCCTGCTTAATGCTTACGCCCTCTTAATCAAGAATGACATTCGTTTGGTGAATATAATGCTAAGAACTGCATAAGAGAACTGTCAAGAAAAACCTCTTTACTGCTCTAAAACATATAAAATGCCAATGGCTAATTTCAGAGCACATGACTTAAAGAAACTCTATAGCATATGAAAACATGGTTTTCTAACAGAAATATTTCTGGTATTCCTTGTCTGATGATTTATAGCCCACGTATACTTTTACTTCTCTGAAAAAATCAAGTAATACTACTCCCCTCCTACCCTCCCCCCCGTGGTAATATTTATGCTAAAATATTCAAAATTCTACATTAATATTAAATAAGTATTTTCTCCTCTGATTTATTCCCTGAAATGACATATTCACCAAAGCTTTGAAAGAGGGAAAATGTTTCAGGATAGATTTGGAATCTCACTCACCACTCTGCTGAAGTATTTGTCCAAAACTTCCACAAAATTATGAATGAGTTCATATACTGCCATCTCATTCTGAAATTAAAACCAAGCGAATATTAAACGAATAGCTAGAAAATGTAATACTGTTCTTTGAGTTAATTCAGTTTGTGGTGAATGAAAAGCAACTAGATAATATAATAAGGCCCACAGCAAAGAGCAGAAGCTCAGGCCACCATTGCAAGAGCTGGTGTGGTTACCCAGCAGAGCTGCCGAGAGCTGCGCGGTGCTTAGGGCAGAAGCTTCAGACCAGCCACGCAAAGAAGCACTGCAGTACCCAATGGCTTGTCTCACCCAGGCTGCTGCCATCCCTCTGCATCCTTTGTTCCACCACCACCCAGGTCTACAGCTAACTAGGTTATGCTTACCCATGCACCAGCAGCTGGAGCACAGAGCCAGGCCGTGCTGGGCGATTTCTGTTGCAAAGCCAAAATAATTTGCCCCAGACTGTGTGCCATTATAACCCTGACAGAAGACACTATGGTAGTCAGCAGCTACCTTCCACACCACCCTGTTATGGGCTCCACTAGTAGGCTTTGAATAAATTTCTGAGAACAAGGAATCAATGTAAACACTAAAGCCTCTCAGGCACAACCTGAATAAATGAAATAACAGTACTTGTCAGCTTTCAGATACATTTGTGTTTTTCCTTTTTTAAAAAAACACTATAAATTGGCATCTTTCTAGCTGACAGTATAGGAATTTTTTGTTTGGCCATGGAGTGTGAAGTCACCACAGATAAGACAGCTGACCTGGCTGTAACGCTAGCATTTTTTGAGAAACCTGACCCCACATAAATGTCTGTTTAATCAAACATAAATTTAGAAAACAGAATCAGTACAAGACTCAGAAAGACTACCTCATGATAACAGTTCAGTCTGCTGCTAAAGACTGAAGTCAAACATACCACATTTTCTTTTACACCTCTTTCTTTCCCCCCACGCACAATGACTCCTTGAAATTCTCTAATTGCTATTGAAAAATTCCATAATGGAAGAAGACTTGAGCTCTTCCCTCTGATGATCACTACAAGCTTTCATTGCAAGAGGGTATGTGATTTCTTACCTCTGTCTGGTCGATGCCAACCACTACAAAAAGGGCTGCGTACTGCCGGTACACCAGCTTGAAGTCCTTATACTCAATGAAAGAGCACTAGGCAGAAGCAAAAGGAGCAAATTAGAGCAGCTGCCGTTTAAGCACACACCAGTAAAAAGCACAGTGTGCTCACAGAGCCTGAGCGTTCAGGTCTGTGAGACCCACAAAGCACAGTGGCTTTCCCAAGGTCCACCAAACCATTTTGACTTGAAAGAAATTATTAGGGTAACTGTTAGACAACACTGACAGAAAACATGCTACCACTTTTTTAAACGGAGTAACAGGAACATACAGAACAGAAGTGACTTGCTCGGGGTTACAAGGCAGTCAACACTGCCCCTGTATTTTCATCTGAAAGCCCTTCCAAAGAGACCGAAACGCCATTTTCATATTTTAAAAATTATGAATATTTTTATATAAAAAGGAAGACGCGTAGACTCCCCGAGGGGGTGATTCCCACGTGCTCCCCGCTGGGCCAGGAGGCAGGAGATGGCGCTGTTAGTCTCCTCCTCCTCGGGCCCGAAATGGCAGCGAGCTGAGAGCAGCTGCGCTGCGGCCTCTGCTCCGAAATGCCCTGCGACAGCACCACCAGGACGGTCATTTTTTAGCCACTGCGAAGTCTGCGAACTAAGGCACTCTATAAGCCCCGATATTCGTTCTCAGCTTTTCTAGAACGAAATGTGCGATAACCACTGTGTGAGGACACGCGTAATTAATGAGAAAGAAAGCTGACTCAGAACACAAGCCAAAAAAACTCCTTTCGCGGTCCAAGTCACATATTTCTTCTCTAATTCGAGCCAATGTACAAAAGTTTGGTGCATTTCTTAAAGAAGCAATGGCTCGAGTAACTGAACCATGAAAACCTCAACTTTCATCTGTGATGTTTTCCCACTTCTCAGTTTTCTGACTTCCTTGCAGAAAGTGTGATGTCTTTTTTTTTTTATAAAAAAGTCCAATACAGAGGCCTAAAAATCTGTGTTTCCAACCCCCTCTGTGTTTTGGGTAATATTTTCATAATTTGGAATCCTCCAACTTTTTTTGTTTAAACTTGGAACTGTCAGTGCTCTCTCTACTACCTTCTGGCAAAGCAGCAGTAATATCTCTGCATCCATCTCTACCAGACAAATAATAAAAGAATAAAATTAGTTTTTTCCTGGACTTCTGAGCTTCTCCAAACAAACAAGGGGGAATCTTCATGACACTGATACACAAAACTCAAAAGTCTCTGTAAGCCTCAGAAAAACATATTTATTCAATGCAGAATAACAGTTCAACTGACTGAACCCATAGCCTAGAAACTCACGTCTTTTTCTTCATGGGTACAAATGAAATAATGACCTGCAATGGAAACTGGGGGGGTTTCAGAATTATCTACATGAAAGTTGTGATAAAATAAAAAGCTCAAAATTTACCTGCTCCTTTGAACGGGAGAGACAGTTTTTGATAACTTCAGCTTCCAGCATTGTCCGTTTATTAATTTCGACATGCTCGTAGTACCTAGACAGTCTTGTCTGACCTTGTTTGTTAACCATAAGAAAAAATTTTATCATTTCTCTTTTTGTTGATCTCAGTGGTAGACTTAAATATCAGGTGCAGGAATTGACAGAAGTATTTCTGTGAGGGGGAAAAATAAAACAAAGTAGTATACATAGGAGTTACAAAAGACTTCCTAAAAGCCCAGATCTGCATGTATTTACCACTGAGTTTATAGCCAAAACACAGAATATTGGAAAAACAATCTCTAATCTTTTGCATGCATCCGATAAGTAAAACTCCCATTTTTTTCTTCACACACCTAACTACAAGCTGTCTAATAAATAACAGCTTTCACACGTTCAGTCAAATTAATTTCTTTGTAGGATCTGGGAAATTGGAGGAGTAAACAATTACTTCTTCATAACCATAAATCTACCCATAATTTTCTTCCTGCATGCTAACTGGTCTGATAACATTATCAGAAATTTGCCCAATAACAAACTGGAGGATTAACACAGCTCCTCAGAGCAAAATTGGCCTATGAGAATTTTTTTTCCCCTGACTTCTACTTAACAATTACATTTATACCATCATCACCATCAGACTGAAGGGAGAGATGACAAAGGGAAATGCATGGGCCACAACACATGACCATTTCTTTAATGTAGAATGAGAGACTCCTAAATATTTGGCTATCTACTGTATGAACACACACCTTGAACTGGACCAGGTGCCGCTGAAATCTGCTTTCTCCTGTCTAATTTCCCACACTGATCCAAAAGGTAAATTCTGCACTTAATGAAAACTGTGGGTCTTTGATAGCTAAGAACTCTGTTCATGTTAATTACTCAAAAGAGCTTAATCTCAATCTTAAGAATCCACACAACTGCTGAAATATAGTTGTAGAATATAAATACACCACATGCAATGTACAATGAGAAAGGGTATTAAAAAGAGCACAGCATATATTAGAATCTGCTTTCTAAACAACTGACATCTTTCATATGTTGAAAAGCATGGGAAAAGGGTAGGCTCAAATGTAATTTTTTGAAGTAGAAGCTCTGGGTGATTTTCTTTAATGCCAGACAACAGTCACTGTAATGTTTTCCATCTGACTCTCTGTTTGGATCACAGATTTATTGGCCCAAATACCCTTGAGGTTTATGCACTGGAAATACAGCAACTACCACAAAAGTTATTTCTTTTATTCCAGTTCTGAAGAGCTGGTCCTTCCCTGGTGCAAATATTATCCCATAAGGTCTCCAAGTTCCTGTGTCACAGTCCAAGCAGAAAAAAACCCATATAATGAATCCACAAAACAATACAGTATAGCTCTTTGTGCAAAAGCAGTGTATCTTAATGCAGAAAAGCAAAAGGGGAAAAAACCCACGGCAAACTGCATAGGTGCTGCCCCACATTATTAGCAACTTGAATAAACTGGCTTTATATCCATGGGTGATAATATATAAATCTTTCATGACAGTGAAACAGAATCCCAATATATTGTGCTAACATTAATTATTGCTTACTTCTGATTCCTACTGGTCAGCTAATTGTTTTCTGAAAGAAAAGCCACCTCTATTGCCATCAGTTGAAGCTCAAGAAAGCGATCCTCTTTTCCTCACAGTACTCTGGTTTACTCCATGTACAAAGAAGTTTAGATTTCCATATGTAATTTCAAATGTATTTTTACTAATTAGACTTGATACTGAGAATTCATTTCTTAGTTAAGTGACACACTCTTAGTTCAGGATCAGTCCTTGGGACAAGAGAATCTATTTGACAGTCTTGGAGTTTTCTCACCTCCACCAGACACGTGAAGTCTCTTCATGTCCAGAACAGGAAGGCACTTTAGGTGAGTCACTCTGACAGAAGAGTCATGGGTGCTGCTCTGTGCTGCTGCAGTGGTACAAACTGCTTGTCCATGGCACCCAGGGCTTCTGAATCAGCACATGGTGGTCTCTGAGAAAGAATGAACCAGGTCATTAAGACAAAAATGGGCCCAGATGGAAATGTATAATGGAATTTTCACTGTCAGATGGCAAAAAGGATGACATTTATAACTAAATGGGAAATAACATCTACACAATCTTTTCTGTGTTTAATATGTGGCTCTCTTTTCTCTCACAATCTATTTTGTATTGCTGCTCGAAGTTAAGAGTTGCAGTAAGATGTCGTAATATTTTGAGGCACAAAGGTGAAACAGTGAGATGATGCAGTCATTTTTTGATACAGACCTTCCAAGAAGGATAAGAATGAACAAATCCTTCCAGCTCAGAATGAGGCCCCTTAGCAAGGGCCAGCCTCACAACAGAAGAGACCTGAAGCTTTAAAGCTACTTAAGAAAGGGATGTGGTCTGAAAGAAACAATCTAAGATGTGCTGCCTGTTGTTTTAATGAAAAACTAGCAAGACAGACACAGGAGACCAAAAGCTATGCACTTTGCTCCTTCCAACTGCAAAATGTGTCTGTCCAAGCTAAACAGATAATGACAGTGACACAGACAGCTTTTCTTTTTTCATCTTGGTTTAACACTTCATCTTTGTGTTTGGCACTGCTGAAGCGTAAATTAATGGTCCTCTGTTTTGAATGAGTTCTTTCCAAGTTATTTTAATAATTTAGTCATAAATGGCACCAAGGACTGCAAGTCCTGTTCTCAGAAATCAGCAAGCTGCATAAATCCATCCTAGAAGAGTAAAAACCTAAGGCTTAACATGACTTCTATATGTGGATATTCAAGTGGAACTTGAGTACAGGAGGACAGTAAAATGACCCCAGGAGCACTGACAGAGCTGCTGTACTTTGAGTTCCTGTTAAGCAATACATAACAGAAAAACACAAGACAAATTGATACATATGATCCTATTGCAGGATTGGCCCCTAATTCTAATTATTCCTTTATTAACCTAATCTTTGTACATGGTAAATCCCTTTCTGGCGTTATGACTATTGTATCTGCATGTATTCTTAGGAATGGCCTGGATTGTTTGATATATAAAAATGCTTTAGGCCAGATTATAATTTTTTTTAATCTGCACGAATGGTCTTTATCCAGAATACATAAAAAAGAAAAATGTTGTAACAGAGGTAGAACCATAGTAGCACTTGAATGCATTATCTGTAATTCATGAAGCAATTATTATTCACAGTATTGGAACAGGTGATTTACATCTGTAAGAAAGAGGTCCACTTAGTATCACATCTGTAAGAAAGAGGTCCACTTAGTCATTTCCTAGTCATTTCTGTATTTTCTCACCAGCCCCAAAGATTTTAACCAGAAATTCTGTTCATATAAACGGCAGCACAAACACACAGTTTTGTGCAAAAACACTGGAATAAATTAATATGTTCAAATAATAGTTTTTTTAAGACATACATAGCTGTGGAATCTGCCTTGGAGAAAACACCGGGTTAAAAATATCTTAATGGGGGAGTTTTATTTCCTTTAGAACTAATTCTGAAAAAATCCCTTGTAGAAATAAAAACATTTGCTTGCGTAACTTAGGCAAAAAAAGGAAATTACTGAGTTTTGTTTCTAACAAAGTTTCTTTCTTCTCTTTTCATCTTGGCTTTCACACACAGACAATATGTTAAAATTACTTTTGCACAGACAAGATGTAGAGAAACCTGCGAAGTATAATAAACAAACAAAAAGCATATCTGTGTGTGTTGATGGATGGAGAAACCCCCATTCCTTCAAGGTCTGTGTAAATGAGAAGCTACTTTCTGTGATCAATAATCAGTACTCTATTTACAAAGGCAGCCCTATTTCTTCTGACACAAATCTTACGTGCTTTTCTGTGCGCTCTCATGCACATGCCTCTGTGTATCTGTGCACATACACATGGGTTATGAAGCTTTTATGCATAAAGAATCAAATGGTCCAAGGGAATTGGTGGCAAGATGCAAGGCTTTCATATCTCTGCCATTATTTTGCTCATTTTAGTAATGAAAAGACATTACTATCTGAAGGCCGTTTGTCAGAAATGAATAGGCTGTCTCATTCCAGGTCACTGGACAACTATCTGCATCACAAATGCGCTTAGGAACGGAAGACTGGAAGACACTATCGAGATCCTGATGGACTGTCACATCCAACTCTCCCCATCACAGTCAGCCATGCACTAGAAATTTTGTCCAGAACAGCCTATGGTATATGCTTCCTGCATACCCAATCTGCAAAACACCTGCAAAACTCTATCACTGGATGAAGACCTCCTAGAAACAAAAAACCTCAGAAGGCATCACTTGGGAAAGATGTAAAAAGTCTTAAAATCGCATACTTTGCTTCAAAAGGAATTACCTTCTGGACTGACTGAGTAGCACTCTCCTTTACTTCCCTTACAGAATAGTTCTCCTATAAGGATAATTTGGCATGTATACAGATGACATAAGTTTAGCAACTGTGATTTAAATACGTGATGTTACAGTGTGTCAGATCTCACCCCCATTAAAGTATCTCTTGCAGATAAATATCTATGAGAGAAAACTCGTGTCATGATTGGCTTGTGTGACTCACACTGCCAGGCTGACATGACTCAGAAGCTGCTTCCAGGACATGTCAGCTCTGCAGGCTGCATAACCGCATGAGACACCTCAAAGTAAGTTGTCCCTGTTGGAATCACACCCCTAAACGATGTCTTTTCAGATACTGGCTGAGACCTCTCAGAGAGGCAAAGCCTGCAATACCTGTTCTGCGGCTAAAAAGATCTTAAGTCTCCAGCAAGGCCAACCCAGCTGATCCTACAAGCAGTAGTACAAAATATTTTAAACATAATGTTAATTACTCCTCCCTTATAGATACAAGCACTCAATTTACTCTGTCAAAGATTTTACCAATATTTACCCACACTCTGACACATGAATGATAAAAAAAGAAACATAAGCAAAGTTTGCAACTTCTTGCACTGCAGCTATAATTCAAATGAGACATGTGTCTCTCAAGCTAAACCCACTCCAGTCAATGTCTACAGATCTAGAAGCATTTTAGTTCTTGCATTCTAACAATAGTTTGCAATATTCTAGGGCTCTCAGCTAGAATGTAAATAAGAGATCGGACCTGGCAAAGAAGAAA